TCACCACCTTTGGGAAAGCTGGCTGGCCGACAGGCTCTCCAGATCTCACATCTGTGTCCCCCCAGGGCTGGGGTTACTGACCTGCACAGCCATGCCTGGCTTTTTATGTGGATGCTAGCGATTTGAACTCCAGCTCTCATGATTGTGCAGCAAGCACCCTTACTTACGAAGCCATCTCCCTATCTTTTGAGACAGAGTCTCCCACTGACCCTGGGGCACCCTAATTCAGGAGACTGGCTAGCCAGTAAACCCTAGGGATCTTCTAGTTTCTGACTGATCATCACCAGGAATACTCATGTATCAACCATCCAGCTTTTGTATGGATGCTGGGGGATCTAAACCCAGGTCCTCAAGCTTGCACGACAAGTACTTTTACCACTGAAGCCATCTGTCCAGCCCTGAGATTTTTATATATATCTATATATATATATAGATATAGATATATATAGATATATAGATATAGATATATAATTTTCAGTTTACGTATCTGACAAGTGGCGAAAGAACTCCCAGCTTTGACCCGATGTCATACTACAACCAACCCGCTCAGGCTGATGACAGGTGCATGGGTATGTCTTTGGATTGTTGGTGTTCTACACCTAGGTTCTTCCAGGCCACCTAGGCTTCCTCCCAGCATGGCACTAAGGCCTAAAAGCTGGGTGGGAACTATATCTCTTTATGACCTAGCCTGCAGAGTGCTATAGCATCCCCCACAGCGCCTCTAGATGCAAGTGTGGGAAATAAGGGCCCCTTCTGATAGAAAGAGAGCAACATGAAGGACATATGATCGAGAGCATCTGTGTGGCCATCTTTGGTGGGTACTCACCCACCTCCACATTAGGTCAAGGCCAGATGTAACCTGAACTGTCCAATCAAGCTCTGCATACAGGGATTGCTCGGGGCCTCTGTCAGCCTGGCCCCAAGTAAGTCTGATGAGAACAGACCCTTGGAGGATTGAGCAACCTTGCTGGAGACAGTTGGCGCCACACCTTTGCAGGGCGTGGGGGAAATTCCATAAAAATGTAAAAAGGGAACAGCCCGGGGCTGGGGATGGAGCTTAGTAAAAGTAAGATTTAATCCCCAGCACTGAAAAAAAAAGAACAGCTACCAGACAGGATGGTGCACACCTACACGCCAGCCCACACTCCGTGGGAGGAGGAGCTAATGGTCAACCTGGCTACATGCTACATACTTAGACTGCCTAAAAAAACTAGAAGTGGGGATATAATTCAGTGGTAGAGTGTTAGGTCTCAAACCCGGGACAAACTGAGGTGCCTATTTAATGTAACAAAACAGACCTGGCCACCGGGGTCTCCCAGCATCCCTCAGTCCCTACTTGTTACAGGTATATGGCTGGCATACCCCGCCCGCTACCCTAAACTTCTCCAACCCAGGGACTGGGCTGTCCTTCCCCCAGCTGCCCTTCCCTATATAATCCAGCCATTTTGGTTACCTGGCTCTTTTGTCTACCCTTTACTCTCCTGGCTCTCCCCTGTCTCCTCAACACCCCTCCCAGCTCAGGATCATGTCCACTCTCTGGACTCTCCCAGATGTCCCTGCCTCTGACTATGCTCTCTCTCATACCTACAGTAAACCTCCACTTTACCTAGGAGAAGTCATATCCTTCCTTTTTCTTCTCTCTCTCTCTCTCTCTCTCTCTCTCTCTCTCTCTCTCTCTCTCTTTCTTTCTTTCTTTTTTCATTCATAGAGCACCTGCCTAGGATCCCCCAGTGAGGGGCTGGAGTATGGCTCAGTGGTAGAGCACCTGCCTAGGATCCCCCAGTGAGGGGCTGGGGTGTGGCTCAGTGGTAGAGCACCTGCCTAGAATCCCCCAGTGAGGGGCTGGGTGTGGCTCAGTGGTAGAGCCCTTGTCTAGCAAGGCCTTGGGTTTGATTCTCAGCATCACAAGAAATAATAACAACCCCCCACACCTTCACGCAGGCATCCCTTTGCTCAGAATCTGCTTTGCAGCATCTCTTACAGGTGTGCACAGAGCAAGTCCTACTATATGGGACGAGCCGGCCCAGAGCTCATGATCCTCCTGCCTTAGCCACCCCTGTGCTGAGCACACAGGTGTGCCCACCTCCCTCTGCTTTACCCTCATATCTTTAGCAGATTGGTTTGTGACTGCCTAAGGCTAGGAACAACATGAACATTCATACCCACCACACCCAAAACAGCAAAGGAAGCCCGTGTCTAATTCTGGGTACACAGTCATGTTAAAAATAGCATTAAGCAATGCATGATGGATGTATGGTGAGGGACACACTGGGCTTGGGGAAACTGTAGGGTGACGGATACTTGCTAGTTTAATTGTGGCAATGGCCCAGACACATGCCAAAACTCATCAGAATCTGTTTTCAGTACCCACCCCCACCTTTTTCTTTTGTTCTCAGCTCTGGTGGATGGAGCCCTGGGTCTGGCACATGCTCAGTGAGTGATCTGCTAAACTGTACCTATCTGCAGAGTAGATTGTGTGCACTATGCGTGTGGTTTTGTAAATGTTGATAACATTGTAAGTGTTCTATCCCCATATGCACATAAAAAGCCAGGCAAAAAGCACGTAGTACACACTTGTAATCACAGCGCTGAGGAGGCAGAGACGAAAGAACCCCTGAGGGCTAGCTGAAAGCCTAGCAGAATTGGTGAGCTCCAGGCCAGTGAGAGATCCTGTCTGCATAAACAAGGTGGGGCTGGGAAGATGGCTCAGAGGGTAAAGTGCTTGATGTGCAACTTTGAGGATTCCCAGATCCTAGGTAAAAATGGATGTGGTATCGTCCATGTCTGCAGTCCCCGGCGCTCCTTACAGCAAGATGAGAGATGAGGACAGGAGAAATCCCTGAAGCCCTTGGGCCAGCTAGTGTGTCCTATGCAGCTGCAAACAAGAGACTGTCTGGAACAAGGCAGAGGGTGAGAACTGACACCAGAGGTCATCCTCTCCTGGTGTCTACACACGTGCCATGGCATATGTGTGTACTCACACACGAACATGCACATATGGACACACCACACACACACAGAGAATCTTTCAACTGTGCATGGTGCACAAAATAGTAATCTCAGTCCTAGGGAAGAAGAGGCTAGAGGATTAGGAGTTCAAGGTCAGCCTCAGTTACATAGAATTTAAGGCCAGTTTGAGCTACATGAGATGTGAGACCCTTTATCAAATAAACAATAAAAATCCTTTCCCCCAAAAGCCCTCAAGGTAACTGGGCAGCGTTGCCTGTAATCCCAGCCCTCAGGAGGAAGAAGCAGGAGGATTTGGGCCACACCAGTCACAGCACACGCATGGATGCTGCAGCCTTTCCCTAGGGCCCCAGGAAGGAGCTGTCCATCGATGCCTGGATGTCAGACTACTTCACTCACCCAGGCAACTTTGGGGTGAGCTTTGCTGCAGCCATAGGGACTCTTATGTTGGCAGGTGAGCTCATGCCTGCTCCTGGAGGGGCTGCAGACTCCAGCCCTGATCACCCTGACACCTCTCCTGTCCCAGCCTGTCTGGGTTCTCTACACCTCCCTCCACATCACATTGCCCCCGACAGCCAGGCAAATCTCAGCTCACTAGCTGCGGTACAGACCCCACAAAACACCAACTGCCTTGACTTCATCTACCCACCCAATGCATATTCAGTAGCAAACGGAATCACACCAGTCTTGCCCTGGAATTGTGATGGCAGGATCCTACTGGTCCCTCTGCCAATGATTTCCACGGCTTTGACTCCTGGCCAAGGCTGGCACAGGGAGAGTGCTCCGTAAGTGCTTCCTGCAGCAATTATGTAGATTTCCCTGGCTGGGAAGGATCCCTAGCTTGGATACCCAGTAAGTGGCCTTGGTAGCAGTTGGTTGAAGCATGGCCCAGACATCCACGGTGATGACGAGGAGCTGTCCCAGCCCAGGCTCATTCTGTTCCAGGGAATCAAGGTGCTAGGTTTCCAGTGCAGGTGAGATACAGTCTAGGCTGGGCTTTGCTCCACAGGCAATACAGGGGAGCAAGACCTGGGTGCAGGGAGTGGGGGTGACTTCTGCCTCTGCTTCAGCTCAGCATTTGTGCAGGGCGTGGAGGACGCCCCAGGGGACAGCCCCATGGTGAGGGGCCCTGCTGGAGTGTGTGGAGGGGGAACAGGACTCCAGGTGCCTCATGTTGAGGCAGGCTGCGGGAAGCAGCCCAGCTACTTCTGGTGCCAACAGCCACCCGCCCCGCACAGCCCTTTCTCATGGCGACACCTCCTCCCCAGTGAGGCCACCGGGGTTTAAAAGACAGGATTAGGGCCCAGACAGCTGGGCCTGTAAACCTGGCCACCTGCTGTGTACACAGTCTGCTAGATGGCCCCTCAGTGTCTGGGTGACCCTGCCCCTTATTCTAGGTTGCTGGGGTGAGTGCCCTCGACTTCAGGAGACACTGGCTGCTTCTGAAGGCCATGGGCTTTGAGGCCCTTGATGGCTACACAGGGCATTCAGTGTTAGATAGAGGCCCTGCACCTGCTGGGCTCTAGGATCCTGCTTCTGAAGGATCTAATCTGAGGACACAGGGTACTCTTCCTTTCAGGATGAAGAACCAGTCCCCAAACCCCACAAGTTCCACTTTGATGGGAAGACCATGTAGAACTAACAAGTTTCCAGAGAATTGGGGACAGAATAGACAATGGGCTCCAACCATGTCACTGGAACCTGGGGGCACATGGAAGGGTGTGGATATCCTGGAAGCCTGACCCCAGATGGTCCAGGCTTGGACAACCTGTGACCACAAAGCCTTGGCCCTGCACCTCCTACAGAGGTTCTTTCAGCCCCCAACCCAGGCTCCCTGCCACAGAGGCGACCCCACATTCCACAAAGACTGTAGCTTTAAGCCTCCTGATGGGCTGTCCCCTGCAAACTGCTCGTTCCACATTCTCGGGGTAGTGGGGTGGGTGGGGTGCCGGCACGCCCTGGGGAGGATGGCTATAAGGCACAGGGATCACAGGGCCCCTGGAGAGCTGAGGGTTTGCTATCCAGCTGTTCACATGGCTCTGCTGCTCCTGGGTGTCTGGGGCATCTTGCTGCTCCTGGGGCTGTGGGGGCTGCTCCGGGGCTATGCCCGAGACCCCTCCCTGGCCCCTCGGTGGCCCCCTGGGCCTCGCCCTCTGCCGTTCCTGGGGAACCTGCATTTGCTGGGTGTGACCCAACAGGACCGGGCACTGATGGAGGTAGGGTGGGCAGTCCTATGTCATTTCACAGCCTGGACGGTGTCCGCGTCCCAGCTCTGACAAGGGAAGCCAGTCGGGGGATACAGGAGGCCAGAGACTGGTCCTGCGCGGGAGCAGATGTAGGAAGGAAGAGGTGACCTAGGCTGGGGAATAGCTCATTGTAGTGTGCATATTTAGCATGCACAAGGGCCTGGTTCTAGCTCAGCACTGCAAATAAAAATAAATAAAATAGACACAGGCAGGAAGTGCAGCCCAGGGTTACGGCTCAGCAGTGGTGGGTAGGGAGGGCTCTGTGAGGCACGTGTGGGGGAAAGCCTGCGTGGGACAGTGAGGAAGAAGCTGGCAGATCTGTCTAGAAGTGACCGAAATGGGCACGGCTGCAGATCATGCAGCAGTGCCCTTGTCTGGGGAGGCGGGGAGCGGTGTTACTGGGGTGTGACTTCTCCCAAGGACCCAGAGGTGAGGGGAAGCTGGTTGCACTGCCTCTAGCCAGGGCTGACTGACTCGGTGGGGTGGAGGTCCTTGAACTTTGTCCGGGGAACTCTTGTTTGCTGAGAAGTCCACACAGCCACAGACCTGACTTGAGGTGGCTCTGCCCTCACCTTTCCTAGGATGGATCAGGCTAGACTCCATGTGGCTTCAGGAATAGAGTCAGCGGCTCAGGCCCTACTTCAGGCCTGATTCTGGGGATCAGATATCAGGCAGGCCCAGCCATGGCTCTCGGTGAGACCCACACAAATTCAACTCCTGCTTTCCTGTTTTCAATTTCTTTTTGTCTCTGAAATGACGAGATGGCAGTCTGAACAGCGCTCCCTCCTGGGGAGACTGGAGGGGCTCTTGGGGTGGTCTACCATACTGCTGTCCTGCTAACCCCAGCTCTTGGAGGGTGGGTGGAGGCTGCCTGTCTGATGCCTGTCTGTCCCTACCAGCTCTCAGAACGCTACGGGCCAGTGTTCACAGTCCACCTGGGATCTCAGAAGACAGTGGTGTTGTCAGGCTATGAGGTGGTGAAGGAGGCCCTGGTTGGGACCAGGCATGAGCTGGCCGACAGACCCCCAATCCCCATCTTCCAGCACATCCAACGAGGTGGGGGTAGGTGGGCGTTGAGATTCCCTGACAGGTGGAATGGGGCTTGGCCTCTTGGGCTGGTGCTGGGGAGGGACAGGATCAGTCCATTACAAGCCAAAAGAGGTATGACCAAGGGTAACCTCTGAATGGGAGGGGTCTGGAGTTGAGCCTGGGGCCCCCAGTTGGGCCTCCTGATCCCCGCATACATCATCAGGATGGGGAGTGGCTGGCACTCATGGCTCATGTCTACCCAACAGGCATCTTCTTTTCTTCTGGAGCTCACTGGAGGGTGGCTCGCCAATTCACAGTGCGCACGCTGCACAGCCTGGGTGTACGACAGCCACCCATGGTGGGCAAGGTGCTGCAGGAGCTGGCCTGTCTTGAGAGGCAGCTGGACAGCTATGGAGGTGAGTGGGGGAGCGGAATGCCCTTCCCTGGCATCCCTGCCCACCTGAGGCCTGTCTTCCTCCCCGACCTCTAGGCCGGCCCTTCCCCTTGGCTCTGCTGGGCTGGGCACCCTGCAATGTCACCTTCACACTCCTCTTTGGCCAGCGCTTTGACTACCAGAACCCTGTGTTCGTGTCCCTGCTGAATCTCATCGACCAGGTCATGGTCCTGTTGGGGTCGCCTGGCATACAGGTGAGAGGCCGCCACTCCACAGGAAATTGAGCCCCTGCTGAACTAGGGTGTGGGGGCCAGCTCTGGACCCCGAGATCGGGGCTGGTTGGTACCCTACAGTCTTCCTAGTTTCCACTGCTGTCAGCCTTCGCCCTTTGAACAGGAGCCCTGGGGCTGGGGAATGTGGCTTCACTGGTAGAGCGCTTGCCTAGCATGCACAAAGCCCTGGGTTCCATCCCTAGCACCACACAAGCGGAGCACCTAAAATCCCAGCACTCTGGAGATGGAGTCAGGAGGACTGTAAATTCAAGGTCATCCTTGGCTACATAGTGAGTTCGAGGGCAGCCAAAACAACATGAGACCTGTTTCAAAAGAGAAAATAAAAACAACATGAACAAGGGATGTGTGACATTGGCCATTGGTTGGCATGTTTTGCATGGGAACCAAGCCCAATGCTCTTTGGCAGACGGGGCATCCTCATACCCCTACAGCAATAGATACGGCGGCTAAAGGTGAGGGTGGGGGCCTTTCACAGTATTGTGGGACCCATGTCCTACAGGTCCCTCACACCCAAGCACCTTTTATTCATTTATTTAAATTTTATTTTATGTGCATTGGTGTGAGGGTGTCAGTCCCCTGGAACTGGAGTTATAGTCAATTGTACGCTGCCAAGTGGGTGCTGGGAACTGAACCTGGGTCCTCTGGAACAGCAGTCAGTGCTCTTAACCACTGAACCATCTCTCTAGCCCCTTTTATTTATTTTTTTGAGAGAAAGTCTCTCTATATAGTTCTGGTTGTCCTGGAACTCTCTATAGATCAGGCTGGCTTTGAACTCACATAGATCTATCTACCTGTCTCTGCCTCCTGAGTGCTGGGATTAAAGGTGTTCTTGACCACATGCTCCTCATCACAGAAATCACAAAAATCAGCCCTTCCTATGTCCAGTGCCCTAAAGTTTAAAGAGTCCTGGCTTAGCCAGGCGGTGGTGGTGCACACCTTTGATCCCAGCACTCGGGAGGCAGAGGCAGGCGGATCTCTGAGTTCAAGGCCAGCCTGGTCTACAGAGCGAGATCCAGGACAGCCAGGGCTACACAGAGAAACCCTGTCTCGAAAAAATAAAACAAAACAAAACAAAACAGAAGAATCCTGGCTTTGGGCCACCGTGCTCCTAACTGAAGCTTGGGCAGTCAGTACCCAGCACCTAGCCCTTACAGTTGGGCTCTGGCTCAGGATGAGGTCCCATAGGGGTGAGGAGGAGCAGCCACTGTGGTGAGCAAGCTTGGGATTCCCACCCATGTGGTCAGAGCAAGCAGTGAGCTCAACCTCAGAGCACTCCCTGGGGGATGGAGGAGGTGGGGTCCCCCCTGGATAGCTTGGGCAGTAGGAATGGTCCTCATCACTTTAGAGCAATAGGTGGCATTTCCCACCAGCAATTGCCAAGGTAGGAGCAGCTGGAATTCTGAATACCTACTGGCACCAGACCCACTCTGCTGTAAGCCACATGTCCTTCCCCAAGACCCGTGAGCCCCCAAAGCTGTGACTCCCTCTCCATGGTAGCCATCCCTCCTCTGCCCTTCCCGTCCAGGGATGATAGAAAGGAATAGGTCCCTAGGCAGCCATTACTCTTGCTCTTGACAGAGCCATCCAAGTACATCAGGTCAGCTGGCTCCTTCCTGAATACCCTGAGATTCCCTCCTGGCCCCTGGATTTCCAGGAGGGTGGCAAGCCTCCAGTGCTGCTGGTCTGGTGCCCTCTTGTGGCCAGAGGCAGCATTGCCCGATGCACCTGCTGCTGGATCGGCTTGCTCGCAGGAACTGCACGTCATCTCACCTCTACCCCACCCCCTGTCCCGCCCACTCTCAGCTATTCAACACCTTCCCCCGGCTGGGGGCTCTGCTGCGGTTGCACAGGCCTGTCTTGAGCAAGATCGAGGAGGTGCGCGCCATCCTGAGAACCCTCCTGGAGGCGCACAGATCACCCTCGCCAAGTGGCGGCCCCGTGCGGAGTTACTTGGAGGCTCTGCTTCAGCAGGGCCAGGTGTGGACAGGGACAGGGCTTCCCCGAGACCAGTCAGGGGCTTAGCGGCCCCAGCTCAGGGGAGGGGAACAGCCGAGGGCTCTTTCCCATCTGCTGGGGACCTCTGGGAGTCTCAATCTCCTTCTCTGTGAGATTGGCCCCTCAAATTACCTGGAATGGGCACAGGGGTTGGGTGGACCCTCAGTAAATGCCATTTTACTCCCCCTCCCATTCCTCCACCCCTCCCAGCCCCACCCTCGCCAAGCCTGACTTCTACCCGTTCTCCTCTGGGATCTAGGACTGGGGTGGGTCCACAGGTTGGGGTTGGATCATAGAGCTTCAAGCCCAGTTCTAATCATCTGCCCTGCAGGAAGATGACCCCGAGGACATGTTTGACGAGGCCAATGTCCTGGCCTGCACACTGGACATGGTCATGGCTGGGACAGAGACCACGGCAGCCACGCTGCAGTGGGCAGTCTTCCTAATGGTTAAGCACCCACACGTGCAGGGTGAGAGTCACCCCACGGTAGGGGGTTGGGACCCTTAGGGGTCAGGGATGGGGCTTCACCCATGCAGTGCCACCCTCTGGCCTAGGCCGCGTGCAGGAGGAGCTGGACCGAGTGCTGGGCCCCAGGCAGCTACCTCGGCCAGAGGACCAGCGAGCACTGCCCTACACCAATGCAGTGCTGCATGAGACCCAGCGGTACATCACACTCCTGCCCCATGTGCCCCGCTGCACAGCTGCTGACCTCCGGCTGGGTGGCTACCTGCTTCCCAAGGTGGGGTCCTACTTACCCCTTCCCTCTGACGGGGTGGACAGGGGACTTCCTGGGTCTCATATTCGCCCGGGAGAGAGGCTGACACCATGTGGTATAGGTGGGAGGCAGGAACTCCCCTCAGGTGGCGCTCTACTCCTTCCCCTCCCTCTAAGACGAACAGCCTACTCTGCGACCCCTCTACCCCACAGGGCACCCCTGTGATACCTCTGCTGACCTCCGTGCTCCTGGACAAGACACAATGGGCGACCCCAAGCCAGTTCAACCCACAGCACTTCCTGGATGCTGACGGGCGCTTCGTGAAGCGGGGCGCCTTCCTGCCTTTCTCCACCGGTAACTTGCTGGCCCTCAGCCTTCAGGGAGTGCCTTCACCAGCTCTTGCTTTTCCCTCTCCTCTCCAGAAGCAGGCCTGGCATCCTACATGGTGCCTTGGTTTCTCTTACAGGCCGCCGGGTCTGCATTGGAAAGAGCCTGGCCAAGACAGAGCTCTTCCTGCTGTTTGCGGGCCTCCTTCAGCGGTACCATCTGCTGCCCCCGCCCGGCCTCAGCCCCGAAGACCTGGATCTGCGGCCTGCCCCAGCCTTCACCATGCGGCCACCTGCCCAGACCTTGTGTGCAGTGCCTAGATCCTAGGGTGCTCACACACTGGAAAACTACCAGAGCCTAGCCTACCTCTCCCTTGGGGCACATTGCAGGCAATGGTGCAGTTGGAACATCCCTAGCCATGAATGATGGGCAGACAGTGCCTACTCTGTCCCTCTGAGTACCACAGCTTTTATGTCACAGTGTACAGTGGAGCCAGACTGCCCACCTCTGTCCACTGAAGGCTGGAAGCTGGCCTTTCTTCTGGGCATCATGAGGGGGGTGCAGATATGCGCCCTGCCCAGCCTAGCAGCTCTACCTTGACCTGATATGGTGCTTCCAGGAACCCTAACCCACCTTCCAGGCTCCTCTACCCTGAACACTACAGACTGTTCTCCACTCCAGTCCCCAAGGCAGCCAAATCCCCGGAGCACGGACTAGGTCCCAGGCACTTCGTGGACCTTTCCCACCAGACTCTACCACTGGCTATCACAGGCTCCGCACCAGGCCATGGGGTCCCCATACCCAGATGCCTGGTCTAACCCTCTTTCACAGCCCCCAGAGCACCCTCCTATCTCTCTACCTGGACAGAGTCTGCCCAGTTTGGGGTGCTTCACCTTTGACTGGAACCAAGGGAATCCCAGGGGATGCCTGAGCTTGACTATAGGTGACATTTCGTCCCCTTCTTCTGCCTCTTCTGCTGTGAGGACTGACACTCTGTGGTCACCTGGGTCAAGAATCCTTGGTGAAAAAGAGCCTCTCCCAGCGGATTTCCGGGGACCTCTCTCCTGGTTCCTGAAGCCAATTCTCCCTGACAGTGACAACCCACCACATTTCCCTTTTTGACTTGGCTACCAGGGGGCCCAGAGCTATGGTTCCTGATCCTCCCAGCTACTCTCTCCCTCCCTTCTCTGTTTATATTCCTTGTTTCCAGTGTGCTCACTCAAGGCTTTGGGATGCTCAGGCTGACAACCCTGCTGCGCATGCCTATTACGACAACATGCCAACTCCAGCAGCGCCTTCCTCAGTAGCACCCTGTGGCCCTTGGTACAGCCGCAGACAGCACAAGGCTTCCCCAAGTGGGGAGGAAGGGCAGGGCTAGATGCCACCAGGAGTGGCAAGAGCCAGCTGGACTGCATGTAAGACCCCGATCATGTGACACTTTGGTCCCTTCTGGCCACCAAGAGTCTGGCGGTGGTGGTGGTGAGGGACACGAATGAGCCCCCCTTGGGCTCTGGTGTCCTACTGCTTTGGTGCTAGCCCCAGCCAGGGCTTTACAGTAATTAAATCTGAAGTGACAGAAGTGTCTCAGGGATGCAGGACAAGGCTGGGGACAGGGCTTTGTAGGTGAGGTCGGGTCTGGCTACAAATAGCCAGGCTGCCCGAGACCCATGACCCAGGAAGGAGTCCACGCTTTCTTTGGCTGCCTCTCTCCCCACAGGAATGCAGTATTCCGCCACTGTGCCTAACTGGACCTGAGACAAGCCTATGACTTTTGTTTCCTTTTTTCAGAGGGTTTCTCCATGTAGCCCTGGCTGCCCTGGAACTCACTGTATAGACCAGGCTGGCCTCAAACTCATAGATCTGCCTGCCTCTGCCTCCCGAATGCTGGAATGAAAGGCATTTTTCATCACCGCCCAGCTCCATCTTAACACTTTAACAAGCCCCAGGGACAGCTTAGCTCTGCTCCACTCAAGTGAGCTGGTAGTTCGAAGCCCAGGGGCTGCCCCAGTGTGCATCCTCTCTTCTGCTGTGTGGCATCTTGTTCCAGGAGATGATGTACCTTAGGCTTGTGGATGCAGGGACTACTGCCCTCTAGTGGCAGTTGGATCTGAAAGGACTGCTCACGTAGGAACCGCGGCTGCTCTCACAGGCTCAGGATGCTGTGAACACTTGGGCCTCCGGGCAGCTGAGGGAAGCCTGGCTTCAGGCCAGCTGGCTCTGGCTGGCCATGTCCTCACTGTGACGCATGTCCTGTCCACTTGGAGCTGGGAGTGGGTGGTGGAACTCTGTCCTCTTGGATCAGAGAAGCTGTCACCACCCAAAGGAGACCCTTGAGGGACTGGGCCTGTTAACATTCCATGTAGGGGACAGAAACGGAGGGTGGGAGGGTCACCTGATCCAGCTGAGATCCCAGCCCCCATTCCCTTCTGCCTTTTCAGCTGTGGGCTGCAACCCTATCTCACCATACTTGGCAAGTCAGACATTTCTGTGCAACAATCAAAAATTACAAGTAAAATGTGTAGCCTGGTGGTGGTGGTGGTGGCGGCGGTGAACACTTTTAATCCCCGCACTCGGGAGGTAGAGGCAGACGGATCTCTGAGTTCAAGGACAGCCTGGTCTACAGAGTGAGTTCCAGGACAGCCAGGGTCACGCAGAGAAACCTTGTCTAGAAAAAACAAGAATCAATAAACTGATAGATGGAGAAAACATGGAACAAATCCTAGTTGTATCCTGGTGTCACAAAGTGCAACTTCCTTGCAGCCTTGGTTCTGAACACACATGCATGCTCAGAACCCCTGTGCATGCCCTCCTGCCACACAATGTGCAACCTGAAACACCCTGGCTCAGGGCCAGATGTTTATTTTTTTGGTTTTCCAAGACAGGGTTTCTGTGTGGTCCTGGCTGACCTGGAACTCACTCTGTAGACCAGGCTGGTCTCAAACTCAGAGATCCGCCTGCCGCTGCCTCCTGAGTGCTGGGTTAAAGAGTCTCAGGGCTCAAGACAGTTTATGGGAAACAGGCTTTCAGTGTTTTCTGCTCTGTCCCCTCAGTTTCTCAGCAACAAGGCCGCACACCTGTGGACTGTGCTGCATTAGACGGTCATGAATATGCAAATTTGTTTTAATCTTTAATAAATGGCAAAATTATATGTATTCAGAATTGCTTTAAAATAAATTTCTTATGATCTAGTACATCATATTTGATCTGTAAACCTCTTTTATATACCTCTATACCCAGGGGTGCGTAAAAGTTACTCTGATGCAAAGGGGTTGTGAGTGAGGAGTTCTGGAAGCTGCGGGCTGGACAGCCCAGGAGGCAGAAGGCGGACACCCATGGCACCCACACAGATCCCAGTGAACTCACTGCTCACTGAGTTGGATTTGCACCAAATCCTCTCTGGCCGGTCAGTGCCTTCCTTACGTGGCATCTATGGATGTTTTTTTATGGACCCCAGAAAAAGTCCCCCAATGGGAGTCGGGTTTGTGTTCTGATGGTGACATGGGTCCAGACACGAATGCTTAGTCACTCTGTTTCCAACACGCTGGCTGAGACAATTCAATGAGAAGGAATTGGGCCTAGTTCCTGGCACTGAGGGACGCATGTGGTTGCTGAAAGCCAGCACAGGTCAAGGAGCAGCAGCCGTACGGGCCCCAGGTCTCCACTACAAGCCTACAGCAGGGTCTCCCTGCAGGCAGGTGAGTTGCATTCAGGCTGCACTGCAGTGGCCGCCAGATTGAATACGTAGGAGACCCACCATCGCCACCCCAGGGAATCCCAGCTGATGGAGAAAGCCAGCATGGGCCAGTCTCTGAGATACCATTGATAGAAAAATAGAATCTGTTTACAGCCACTTTAGGGCCACACATGTGGGAGAGGCACCTTGGAGCTGTTTCAGGGAGACCATGTTCACCTCTCCAGGCACTGGGGCTGCTTATAGGGAAGGGGACGGGGGATCCTTCCCAGGACTTTGGAAGGAAGTCCTCAAGGCAGATGACCTTCTGGTGGCCTGCTTGCTCCCACAGCCGTCGTCAAGGAGGTAGCCAGTGTGTCCTCAGGACCCAAGGCCGCCTCCTCCCATTAGGAGAGTAGTTGTAGCACCTGCCGGAGGCGCTCCATTTTCCCCAGCCGAGCATCTCGGGCCTCGGAGTCAGCCTCATCAAGCTCCTGCATCAGCGCCTCGGCCTTCTGGACTGTCAGCTCACGGGCACTGCCCTTCAGCCCCTCCAGGTAGTCCAGCAGGGTAGAGAAGTACTCATCAGGAACCTAGGGGAGAAGAGGGCGGTGTTGATGGACAGGGCGTGGGGACGCTGAGCAGTGGCAGGCAAGGCGTTCACATGGGGACCAGCAGCAACAGGGGACAACCTACGTCGTCCTCACAATGGGGTCTCCCAGCAGAGCTGTGTGTAAGGGACCCCAGACCACCCTGCTGCTAAGAGGTGGGGACACTGTGGAAAAGAGGCCAGTGTGCTGGCATGACCCTCCTGTGCCTCAGACACTCCCTATATAAACGTTAAAAACTTTTTTGAGGCATCATCTCCATCTCAGGCTGGCCTTGAACCAAACTCCTCATCCTTCTCCCTCTCCCACAGCAGCGCTGGGATTACAGGTGTACACCGCCCCACCCAGGTTATGCGATCCTAGGGATGGAAGCCAAGGCAAGTACTCTGCCCACTGAGCCCTCGCCCAGCTTTTGACTTAGTTTCTATTTCAAGATCATCTATTTTCAGTGCGCCCACTCGAAGAGGGGAGATCCACACAGCAGGTGCAGGCCTGTGCCTGAAGGTGGGTGGAACTGCCGGGAGGTGGGTGGAGTTGATGGGCACAGCCCTCACTTGGTGCCTCCAGATATGGGCGCCCAGCATCCTCAAAGGCACACATGGAGCATCCTATGCCCTGACAGAGTACCTTCAGCCCCCTAACTTAGCTGTGGGGTTCTGCTTCCAAATTCCATCTCATCCCAAGGAACTAAATCCTGCCTTGAGAAGAGCCTGGCACACCCACACTCTTGCACACGCAGGTGGCACCGAGGACAAGGAAGGGGTCGAGGGTCCCGGCAAACATGGGGGGAGGGGGGAGAGAAGACACCACAATGTAGGGACCACAGGCTCCACACCACACAGGACTTCAAGGACAGCCCTCCCAGGCTGCACCTCTGCCCTCAGGGGCCCACATGACCTCCATGTGCACAGTCCCTCTCCTGGCTCCTGCCTGCTGGATATGGACCCGATCACTTAGGTGGGCTACCCTCTGTACAAGGACCCCATCTGTGTGCCTGCCTGCCATGCATAGTCCTTGGAAGACCCAGTCCGTACGCAGGTGCTCATCTGCCATGCAGGAACCTTGCTTAGATGTCCACCTGTGCACGGACCCTGTCACCCAAGTGTCCCATTGTCTATTCAGGGCCCCGTGGACCCTGTCACTTGAATGTCCTACTACCCATGAAGGGCCCCACCTTGGCCCGTCTACTGTGCACAGACCTTGTCCTCATCATACATGTTCAGCAAGAGCCACGTCTGCCTCGTCTTCTGGAATCTCCAGCTCTCCTGCTTCTGGGCCCACCTGGGAATCAAGACAGACACCTCAGGATATGGAGGACAGTCCAAGGGGCTCTGGGAGACCAGATCCCCGTGCGCATGTGGTGGCTTAGGGGGATGTGCACCCTCAGCACACCTACTGTAGAGGTACCTCAGTCCATCTGGGATACCTACATTTGTTTTTTTTTTTTTTTTTTGGTAGATCCACCTGTCTCTGCCTCCCGAGTGCTGGGATTAAAGGTGTGTGCCACGACTGCCTAGCAAGACAGGGTCTCTTAATTAAACCCAGAGTTTGCCAATATGTTAAGTCTCTCTAGCCAGTTTGGTCTGGATTCCCTCTCTGTCTTCTGAAGATGGAATTCCAGGCAGACCTCCACACTTTTTCCTGAGTTCTGGGAATCCACACTCCGATCCTCCAGCTTCCATGTAAACGCTTTAAGGACTGAGTCAGCTCCTCAGCCTTGGTTATTAATTCTTCACTAATGTTTCTGCCTAGGCCTGTGAGGGTCTGGAGTATGCCATCATTAGCTGGAATTTCCTTGCAGTCCCCTGAATGACTGTGCATGAGCCCCAGCCTACCTCTACACCCTCCTGGGCAGAGGTACCAGCAGGGAAGGCCTAAGCCGGGGCTGGGCTTCCACCTCAGGTCCTTGCTCTCACAGCTGCTGCAGGGGGCTCACAGGCTGCTCACTGGAGCCACAGTTCCCACCCATCTCAGGGCTGAGCTGGCTTCTACCTACTACCTACTGGAGTGTTCAATCAAGTCCAAGGAGGGACTCAGGTTGTGTGAGGACCCCGGGATGGTCAAGGGATGCGTTTTCTGACTTGTGTTGTCCTGTTTCAAGGTCCTTCCATCACTCCCACATCCTCAGTCCCTGAGGGGCTTCCTAAGAGCAGGAGGACACAGAGCCACGATCAAAGTGGAGGCTGGACACCAGCCTGGGAAAGCCAGCTAGAAGTTACATGAGGACCAGAATCACTCAGGCTGCACCCCAAATGCCTGAAATGGCATGGCCGGGCTAGTTCTGAGCCCAGTGGACTTCAGGGTGGGAAGGAAGTGGCCATCTGTCAGAACAAAGATATCCCCAGGTCTGCCCTGGTCCCCAGCTGCTCAGTAGTAATTGAAAGTGAGCCTGCACCATCCCCTCTCTGGATACAAAGGTAGAGAATCTAGGGGAACCTAGCCCAAGCACACACAGGGCTCGGGATGAAGCACAGGGACCTGTCAACATTCCAGAGGCTGCAACGCTACCTGGGCCTGCCCGAGACATGGTAAGGCCTACTACAATGAAGGCAGAGTTGGCCACACTGTACTTGGTCTGATTCCCAGAGGGGTTGTGCCAAGGCCCACTGCCCTCTGTGATCTTGTAGAGGGTTCTGGGACCGAGGCTTCCTCTGACATATGAGCTATGGGCGGGAATCTTCTACCCCATGTAGAAGGTACCCTCCTGTACCCTTGCCTGCTATATGAGCCAGGGGCACCAGACAGCAGGGCCAGGAGGAACTCTGGACAACACAATGGAAGGCCACTCTCTAGTTCATGGGTTCCATCACCCCTTCATCCCTGGAAACCTTGGCTGACCAGTCACAAGGACTCCTGACAGAGCCCCAGCTTCGGAGTGAAGGGTAGCCTCCTGCCTCCGCAGCTCCTGCAAAGCCACCTCTCCACAAGGCTCTATCTGGGCCGTTTGATCTGCCTAAAAGCTGACCTGACGCAGAGACAGGCCACTCTCCTCTTGCCACTGTGGTTGCCGCGATGCCCATCTCTGTGTGGCCGCCTGCGTAGAGGCTGCTGAGTCCGAACACTCAGCCCTGGGAAGAGCGGTCCTCTGGGGACGCACAGTTCCTGTGAGGCTCCAGCTGCCCGTCACACAAGCCAAACTTCTCTCAGCACCTGCCCAGTGTGACGGTTAACACTGTCAACTTGACAGGATTGACGACGGCATAGGAGATGGACCTCGGCACACCCGTGAGCGAGTATCTAGATGGGGTTAATGGAGGGGGGAAGGCCCGCCCTGAATGTGAGTGGCGCTGTCCTATGGGCTGAGGTTCTGGACTGGATAGGAAGGAGAAAGTACCAGCATTCATTTCTGTTTTCTGCCACACGTGGATGCAATGTGACTAGCTGTGTCCCCCTTCTCCACCACCATGAAGTGTAGCCCCAAGAAAACCCTTCGTCCGGTGAGCTGCCTTGTCAGATGTCTCGTGTTAACAAGACCACCTGGGAAGGAGCTGGAACATGCCCAGGGGATAAGGACACGTATGTTCTTCTGCCTGGAACTCCAGTTCCCGGGAGTCTGACGCTGTCTTCTGGCCTCCATGAGCATATGTGTACACACACACACACACACACACACACACACACACACACACACACACACACACACACTCAGAATTAAAACTAGAACTAATCTTAAAAACAAAACACCTGGGAAGATTCCTCGCTAGGGCTGTCACAGTCTGCAAGGCACTATGGCTCAGGTATGTGCCCTCCCTGACTTCCAGAATACCTGTTTTCAGGGTCTAGCCAAGATCGGGGTGTGCCTGCAGGCTGGGCATACAGTGGCCACAGGACACCTCCCCAGGGTGAAAAGACGAGAGGAAGTGCCTGAGGGCGGTTCTGAGGACACAGAACAGGCAGGGCAGGGGCCTCCCCAACACCAGTCGAAGGGTGGCTGGGCCGGACCATCCACTCATTCCCCAGAACCATGCAGTGGCAGAATGTTCTGGATTCAGCCCCCGGCAGTACTTACCCTTGGAGGTATTCCAGGGCCAGAACAGCCGCCGAGGGCTTGGCTGCCAGGGTCTGGCCCTTGGCTGTCTGAGCCGCAGCGATGCCCGCCTCCTGCAGCCGCTTTTTCTCTTCCTTTTTCCGTTCCTTCTTCAGTTTCCTTTCCAAGACCCTCCTCTCCTCTGGGGACAGCTCAGGGCTGGCCTCCTGCACCTGAAAGTTAATGACAGGCTGTGGAGGCCGGCGTGGGTGCGGCCCCAGGACAGTATGCTGCCAGCCCACCCTTCTCTATTCACAGTCCACAAGAGGCTTCAAAGACGCTCAGGCGTGGGAGGCATGTGTGCGGGAGAGTTCGGCTCAGGTGCCAGATCCACCCAACAAGTGTCAAGTTGCACAGAGTCCCACTCCTTCAGTTTCCTGAGCCCTGTGCAGTGACCACAGCAGCCACCAGAGGGCAGCAGTCCCCCGGACACCTTGCCTGTTCTTTTCTGGCAAGTCCCTAGCGGCTGGCAGGTCTGTTCTGAAGACGCAGGTGGGGGCTGCCATGATCTCCATTGCTAGGGACCCCTCTCAGTGAAGACCCACACAGCGGGAGCTCAGCTGTGGTGGGGCACTGGCCTCCTGAAGCACCTCTTCTGCTGACATCCTGCCAAGGAAGCCCAAGCCTGCCCCAGCCCGCGCACCCTCCCCGCAGGAGCAAACCCGAGGATGGCAGTGTGGAGTCCTTCAGCCAGCACGTGCCAGCACGGTCAGCCCACTTTGTCCTTCCTGGAAAAAGCATAACCAGTACTGACTCTGATCTAGCTGGCAGCCCGGAAAGGGCGTGGGGGTATGGTGAGGAACCCAAGTACACTACCCTGGCCTTTCCAGGAAGGGCGAGCTCCCCCATGATCCCAGGTTCCCATTGGTCCCATCCCCCAGGACAGAGCAACATGATACAGCAAACAGAAGCGCTCCCTCCTCCCCGGGAACCCCACACCCACAGTCCAGTCACAGGAGACCCACATGTGCTCAAATAAGGGCAGTTCCTCCTCAGTCCACAGAGAAAGGACGACAGGGCCTCAGGCAGCTACAGCAGGGCATCCTCCCCCACACAGGAGCCTTCGCCTGGGGCCCAAGGCTTCCTTCCCCAGTCACCCTATACTCCCTCAGCTGGAGAGGTCTTGATCTAAGGAGGCATTGTGGGGAGGGTGCCTGAGGGCCCTCTGGGGACAATATAAAGAGCCTTGGGGGTTAACTTGGGCCCTGGAAATAGAAGGGAAGCCTGGTTGTCCTGGCTACCAGCTCCGACAGGCTCTGGCCAGCTCCCTGCTTACTGCCTAAGTCCCAGAGGCTGTGTGTGTGTGTGTGTGTGTGTGTGTGTGTCTGTGTGTGTGTGTGTGTGTGTGTGTGTGTGTGTGTGTCTGAGTGTTGTATAAACAGCAGCATTGAGAACTGCCCCAGGGCAGGCCTGCCTCTGACCCCACAGCCACGTGGGCGGCACCGCACCACCAGGGCCAAGGTCCAGCCAGGGAACAGGCAGGGCAGTGGAGCAGTTAGATGGATGAGCTGGGGAAGGTGGGAAGCATCAGCCTCCCACTGGACATAACCTCAGCACTCCCCAGGCCCAGGATCCTGGTGTTGGCTTAGGGATGCTGCCTGCTGACTCTGGGGTGGAGGCCATGTCACACATGTCACACAAACTAGAAGTCTCCTGGGGTTCTGCAGCCCGTGTGCCCTCCAGGAAGGAGAGCCATGGTCCTTGGATTTAGTTGGTGCAAGAGAGACAAGGTGCCTCTGAGAACATAATGGTAGAATCCAGTCTGCTCTGGCTACTCTGCAGCAGACCCCTCTCACAGACGCTCAGGAACCTGATTGAGACAGGTCTGCATGAGGCCCTAGCCAACAGGCAATCCCATGGGTCAGGACTGAGTTCACCTCAAAGCTACACTTGGGTTCCCACCCCTGTCCCTTACTGGGAATCAGAGAGCCATACTGCAGTCTCTTGTTACGCAACTTCTCCATCTTCAGAAAGTACAAGAATAGATTCCCATTCTGCTGCATGGGCTCTGACTCCTCTCTTTAGAGACCCCGCCATGCTGTCGTCGGTCTGTCCGTGATTTTACAACTCTTCTAACCCAGCCCTTCCTCCAGAGTCATCCATCTCAGGATCCCCCTTAACTCTAAGGTCTCAGTGTCATCCCCTCCCCAGACCTAACACTGCCCCTCCTCTGGAGAGGGAGGGAGGTCCATCTGCAGCCATTGGAGTCACTGCTGTCACTGTCTGTAGCTTGGGATTTGAGAAAAGAAAAAAGACACATCAAAATTAAGGCAATGGGAGCTGGGGCTGTAGCTCAGTTGGCATAGTGTTTGCCTGGCACGCAGGACCCTGGGTTCTAATCCCAGCACTATATAAAACCAGGCAAGATGCAGCACGCCTGTTACCCTAGTACTCGGGAAGATCGGGAGTTCCAAGTCATTCTGTCTCCAGCACATCAGGGCTGGGATTACAAACAGGCGCCACCACGGTTGGCTTTCACGTGCACTCACGGGCTCCAACTCAGGGCCTCACGCTTGCTGGACAAGCATCTGAATGACAGCCATCTCTCCACCTCCCGTTTCTAGCTTTTGTTTGTTTAAATTATTTTGTAGATTTATTTGTGTGTGTAAGTGTTTTGCCTGCATATATGTACGCACACCACATATGTGCCTGGGGGCCCCCTGAGGTCAAGTGGGTGACAGATCCCTTGGAACTGGAGTTATGGATGGCTGTGATCACGTGGATACTGAGAGTCGAACCTGGTGCTCTAAACTGGTGCTCTAAACCTGGTGCTCTAAACTGCTAAGCCACCTCTCCAGCTCTCTGGTTTTGCAAGAGGGACTTGACATGTGGCTCAGGCTAGCAATTACTCCTGTCTCAGTAGCCCCTGGAGAGCTGGGATTAGGGCTACCACGCTCAGCCCCCCTCCCCCTTTTAAAGACTGGGGTTCATGTAGCTCACACTTGCCTTAAACTCACTGTAGAGTGTTGCATGCACATGTAGTAAAAAGGCAGCCACAGGGCTGTGGAAATGGCTCCGTGGTTTTGGAGTGCCGGTTGCCCTTACAGAGGACCTGGGTTTGGCTCCCAGCACCCACACAGTGGCTGGCAACTATCTGTAACTGCAGTTCCAGGGGGTCCAATGCCCTCTTCTGAACTCTGTGGGCACTTATATAGTGCACATACAAAACATGAACATATATACAATAAAAGTCTAAACAATAATTTAAAAACAACCCACAGTGCTGTTGCTTCAAGAACAGGGACCACCCTAGACTTCTCATGCAGCATCTGAGCATTTCCTTATGAAATGCTTTCCTATCCTGTATTAAGTCATGCCTCCTGCAGCTCCATTTCCCTTTAGAAATGGCACTAATTCCACTTTCAAAAAACCAAGGGCCCTGTGCACTTGGTTCAAGCTGAAAACATAAAAAACAAAACAAAACAAAACAAAAAAAAAAAAAAAAAAACAAGGTCCCCAGAAAGCTGATTTGACGAAAACTGATTCCTGACTTGGGGAACTTGGAGGTGCTCTGTCCCATGGCACACTGGGGACACTTGGCTGGGCATCTTGTCATCCCTACCAAAGCCAAGAGGCAGGGAGCAAACCAGTTGTCCTTGGTAGGCTGACACTTTGGGGCCACAGCAGAATCAGCAGCCCCTCCCCCCGCAATAGCACACATTTGGGGTTCCTCCATCCACATCTGCATGGTTTACACTCATGGTTTATGCTGATCTGGGGCTGGGGGAGCAGGCAGCCTTAGTCACGTGCTGACAGGCAAGGCTGGCTGGGCCACTCTGGGGACTGGGAAGGAAGCTGGATCGGCCCCCAGCAGCCTTAGAAGCCAAGACTGCCTGGTCTCACACCAGGTGTGTCTGCTCAGGGAAGTGGCTGTTGTCACTCTCCTGGTTCCCACTAGACCCTGGAAGGCCTGGAAAGGCAAGGGGAGAAGAACAGGAGGGCTCATGGCAGGGCACTGGCCCTAGCCTGAGTTGTGAGAGAAGGTCCTCATTATCCCCAAGACTCAGGGACTCAAGAGCTCTTGGATTTGCGGACAGGTTCCATGTACATGACTTTCCACAGCTGGAATACTCAGGTCCATCTACCTGCTGAACAGCATGATGGGGGTGGGGGTTAGCTGGCAGGATCTGCTTCAAGCCGACCTGGAATTATAAAGCCCAGGCTAGCCATCACCTGGAGGCAATCAATCCTACCTCAGCCTCCCCAAGTTCTGGGAGCACATATATACGCTCTACCCAAAGGTGTTCAAGAATCACGGCCCGCCACTCTGGGCCACACAGGTAGCAGGAACCTGGGCTGTTTGTGCCTGTTGCAAAGGGAGGCGGCTTCACTCCATCCACTGCCTGTGAGCAGGGGCATCCAGGTGACCCGGTGTTTTCTGCCAGCTGAAAGACTCTAGGTAGCACGCCACACCCCCCCCCAGTCCCGCCCTCACCATTACCAGGTGGTATGTAAACCCAGGATCAGTCTCGAACCCAGCCCAGCTGCATGGGTTTCACTCTTAGTTGCTCACAGGAAGCCCTGACTGAAACCTGACTGCTTTGAAGCCTCAGGGCGGGAGGAGACACACAAGAATGGGTGCTGCAGCACACCCCAATCTTCATGGACCCAGCCATTGCCTCAAGCCCCTCCCCTGGGTTCCAGGTCAACTGAGGCCCTCTGTGCGGGAGGCAGAGAAAGGGCCCATTGCTCTTCCCCAAACTCACGGGACAAAGAGATGTTCTCCCCTTTCCAGAGCTGGAGGAATGGAGCTGCTGGTCCTGGCCAGGGTGTCACCTGTGCAGGTGAAGGAGCGGGACCACCGACCCCCATCGGAGATGTGTGCAGGGGCTGGTGTGACAGGGGTACATTCTCCTAAGAGGGATTTGTACTGTCCTGGGCCCCCCGGCAGTGAGCACCGAGGTTTTTTGAGCATCCTTTGGGTTGGACGTCTTGTTCAAACATTCTTGGAATTATGGAGGTGGTTGGTGAAGGCCCTGAGGGGATTCAGCAGCTGCCAAAAACTGGGCCAGGCCACTTAACTGTTAGCCCATACTTCTCTCAGGAAAAAGTCTACCCAAGGCGGTGTTTCTTCAACAGGACACCTTCAGCCCAGCTGATGTGCTCAGCATGGGCTAAAGCAGGGCTTGCTCTCTCTCCGTCCCCACAGCCCAGCAGTGCTCTAGATAGACCG